GCCAGGTTAGTTCTTCACTGGTCTTCAGGTCCCCAATGCTGCCATGTTGACCCAGCTGTGGTTCCTGCAGCTTCACAGCTGGCTCCCTGCTGCTCATGCAGGAGAAACACTGCACCCTGTAAGAGGTCCTGCAGTCTACTGTGACCTGCGACGTGTTCCAGAAGGATGAGGGCAGAGAGGGAGCAGATGATCCAAGTGGGACTGGGTACCTGCTCCTTAAAGCTGAGCAGTGGAAGCTGTGCTTTTCTGTCCCCCCCAAAATGTACCAAATGTGGCAGTGCAGAGGGGGGGAGGAGTCAGAAAAGCTGAGATTTTAACAGGTACCCACTCCCACTTCTGACTGAGTTCGCCATGGCAAACTGAGCCGGAAGTTTGGCACCCCCCACAGCCCTCTGGGGCACTTCCAAGGTCTCAGAGGATTGCAGCCCATTCACAAAGTGCAGCATGCTTCGTGCATGCTCAGTAAGAAATTGGCGGGGAAGCCGCAAGGCTTCCACGCCAGTTTCCCTTAGTCAAGATGGCGGCACCAGTACCAGACATCTGATTGATCAGGGTACCGCTGGATGCATGGACAAGTAAGTGCCCTACTATTAAAAGTCAGCAGCCACAGTATTTATAGGGGCACGTTTGGACAGCGCTATTGTCAGTCTGTGGGGAGGGAAGTGTTAGATGTACTAGCAATTTGAAGTTGAACTTCAGCACCGCACCTGGGAACTAGCAGGGAGGAGAAAGACCTTGTAGTATAACGAGCACTGATTGCTCGTCAGCAAAGGGGACTGTCAGGCTTATTCTTTATCCCTGTCGCTGCCAGAGCCCTTTTTGCGTTTTTTTTGCAGAAAAATAATTTTAGGCCTGAAGATTACATAAACCCCCCAAAACATTATATATTTTCTGAAAGCAAACATCCTAGAGAATAAAATAATGAGAGTTCCAATTTTTCATGTTGCATGATATTACCACATAGGTCTAGGAAATGCAAAATTTCAGTAAAAAATGCACTTAATTTTAGGGCACAAAAAAGCAATAAATTACCCATTTTTGGGTAAAATATAAAATCTTAGATTGCACCTTCTACAAGCTTTAACCAGTGCTCTGCTGGACACTGATAGAAGTCACAAGACTGCTATATACTGCTGATGAGAAAAGGTATTTAGCAGTTTGTTTACTAAAATAATTGCATTTCCATGTTGTGTGTACTGTGGGAGATCAGATATGGTGAATGCAGGGTCCGGGGTTTAGTAACACTTTAAGCTTCAGCTTTTAGGCTAGGTTCACACGGAAGATGGGATGTGGATAGTTTTCTGCATTCAAAGGTAGCTAGTCACTGGCTCTGGACACATTTGTGACTTGTTTTGTATCTGGTCCAAATTTTAGACACAGCTGACTGGGAACAACCAACATCTTTTGCAACATTCCGTGATGATTTACCTTCTTGAAGAAGTTTTATAATCCTCTCCTTTGTTTCAACTGACATCTATCATGTTGGATCCATGATTCATGTCAGTCAGCTTGGTGCAACAGCTCATCAAGGTGTGCAAGCACTGTTTGTAAACTGCATACTAATTAGCAGATGTAATCTGATGCAGATGTTTGTTTTAGAACGGCAAAGTACATGGTGATTTCATAATCTTTTCTTCAGAATTTAGTGATTCCATATTTTTTTTCCTCTGCTTGATCTGCAAAAACAGTTGCAACTGACTACAGTTTTCTTTTTTTAAGTGTTAAAGCCAGAAGGTTGGAATGTGAAAGCGGAGCTCCACCCAAAAGGGGAAGTTCCGCTTTAAGGACTGCTCCCCTGCTCCCCATTAAGGATTGGCACCTTTGGGGGGGGGAGCAGGTACCCAAATTTGACAGATACCTGCTCCCACTTCCGGTCCAATCACCTAGGCGATTGGAAACGGAAGGTGTCCTCCTTCCCTCCCTTCCTGTACTCTTTTGGGACACGTGACAGGTCCCAGAAGACTACAGGACCATTCATGAAGCGCAGCTCTACGCGCGCATGTGCAGTGGGTACCCGGCTATGAAGCCACAAGCTATCACAGCCGGGTGCCCATACTGAAGATGCCGGCCTCCTGGAATCCAGGATGGCTGGTGAAACGGGCTGCGAGGGACACACCGCGGTACCGAGGGACAGGTAACTGGCTGTTTTTTAAAAGTCAGCAGCTACAGTTTTTGTAGCTGCTGACTTTTATTTTTTGACAGGGTGAGTGGAACTCCACTTTGCATGAAAACAGCTTTGAGGCATGTCTGTGATTAGTTTTTTTTCTACACAATTAACCCCTTTGCGCCGGCCGCACACAAATGTGCGGCCTCTCGACGTCTGGGCCTAGACGCCGAGCGGCCGCACATTTGCGTCCATGTAACTAAATACATATGTGCTGAGAGCGCGCGCCCTGCGCGCTCCCAGCACACATGTGTGGTACTCACGGAAAGGTCCCGGTCCGCTCTTTCGAACGGGACCTTTCCCGATCATGTGACCGCCGTGACGCGTCATCACGGCGGTCACATGATTCCTAAACCACGCCCCAACCGCCCCGCCTCCCGGCGTCTGAATCTCTTAAAGGGCCGGGAGGCGTCGGCGGGAAGGGGTTAAACAATTGAATGAACATTTTCCAAGAGTGGTGATTCCATACTTTTTGGATCAAGAGGCCAGTGGAGGGATGTAAACAATGCCATGGCCCTCATAGCAAGATCTAGGTAAGTGTAGTAGCTGGTGAGGGGCTAGACCTTCTTACAGGTTTGGGGTCCAATGGGTGACGTCACCCATAGGCTCCTATGGCCAACCCAATGTAGGTGCTCTCTCTCATCTGAAACCATGCTGGCTGACACAGGGGAACCAGATCATGTGACCGGACGAGAGCGACCTAAAAATAGTTAAGTATACACATATTTATAATACAGGTTAGTTAGCATAGGTGTTAGGAGAGGGCATTTTTAAGATTAGTTAGGTTTAGCCTGAAATTATACTTTTTTTTTTTTTTTTTCTGTGACCACACTGGGGAGTTTGTTCCATGTTTTCCTGTGACACTAGGATAAGAAATGGTGGAGGGGACACACTTGTCAACAGACAGGCATAGACATTAGAGTCCCTGTTATACATTTTAACCCTTCTTTGCTCAACTCAGAATATCTTTTGTATGATTTCTGTGGCCTGTTGGAGAAATTTGGAAGTGAGGGGATGTACTGTGTATGGATTTTTTTGGCTCTGGCATATAGTTGGATTGAGATCAGTTTGTGCTTTTCTTTTATTCCTCTAAACAAGTCAGCGTGACAGTTTGGCAAAGGCCATTCAACATATGTGAATATTTGCTCACCACTTGGTGCGCTGCTCATAATCAGTAAAATGAAAATTCTGACAACACCAAAATATTGTGCTTAATAAATTATAGAAAGTCCAGAAATCCAAAATATAAAAGTGCAGTCCAACAAATCGGTATATAAAGGTGCTCAGTCCATTTGCAATCCCAAAAGTGATCAAACTCAGAAGTGAACGATCGTGTTCCCACCACCAACCAAATGATTAGCCTCTTACCAGAAGCATCGATCTCATTAATAAGAGATCAATACATGCCTGTGTGATCTCAATTGGCACTGATCGTGCTAACAGCCAGCTCTCATCTTGTTCACACCATATTGTCACAAACGTCCCTCCGAAAAGAAGACTGAACTGAAGCCACAATGGTGTTCTATCGTACAAAATAGTTTATTAAAAAACAGACATATACTCACAATTTGTTAATGAATCAGAGCGAATATCAATCAGACGCTGAGGTTCCAATGTCGGCATACATGTGACGCCACCGGCTAGGCCCCGCCTAACATGATTTGTCACCAATCAGCATCATCAGAGGTAATGGAGCATGTAAATATTTGTTTTAAAAGGGTGATATATTTAAAGTATACACATCTCAAATGGCCATGTACACTAGCCCTTAGAATTCAGCAAAATGCTTATCCTACAAATGGTATAATATTGGTCATATGTTGTTTTGAAGTGATTGTAAAGGTTTTTTTGTTTTTTGCTTTTGAAATAAAAAAAGTTGTTATACTTTCCTGCTCTGTGTAATGGCATTGCACGGAGCAGGGTCTTACCTTTTCCTCTGGCAGTTTTCTGACGTCATCACACCACTCATGCGCACTGTACAGCGAGTTTAAAGCTGCTACTTTTTGTGAGTATATCTAGTGAATAAATTCAAGCTATCTGTGCAATGTTTTATATTGTTTGTTTCTTCTCTGAATCCATGGTCTATTGAGCATATTGAATGATCTAAGAAGAGCACTTGTGTGCAGTCAGTCTGATACCAAACATTCAGATGCCCATGAATGTTTGATTAGCACATTTGACCTCCATATCATAAGAGGTCTAACCATAAGTAAGGGGTACAGTTTTGTGTGGTTGCGGTGAAAGATTGCCTTGGCATTATAAGTCACATGGTGTGGAATGATTTGTATCCTGCTGACACTGTGGTAATCAGTATGTTTGGACTTTCATTTATAAGCACTCACAGTGGACTTTGGGACTTTTGGGTTGTCTTTATGGACGTATTATGTTGTAACAATTTTAACTTAAATATAAAAACATTTTTTATTTAATTGAGATTTTGAAGGGAAGTATTGGTAGGACACCTCCTATTTAGAGAGACAGCGCTTCACATAGGTGTTTATATATGTCTTTAAAATCTGTTTGTGGATATTTGTGTCTTCATATGGCAGGGGCAGTGCACAGCCAGTGCTCAGTGGAAATAGTCCAGGACTCAGACCTGTAACTAGCAATCTTTACCTAATTAAACCCAGAATCTAATTATTTACTATCTTAATGAAAAAACAGGTCTTATTTTAAACAATTTTAGGTTTTGCTGTAACAGTCATTTAGGTGATCTTGCTCTCAGTTTATTCATTCCTACAGTAAATACATTATCAGTATGTAAGAACCAAACGTATGTGTGTTGTGTGTCAGTTTATAATTGCTCTCTGCCTTTTTTTATGTTTAGAAATTTGGAATGGCACTAACGCGTTTAGGAAGGTTGGGCCAGAAGTCTAGTGTCCTGTTTTTATGTGACATGCAGGAGAAGTTCAGACCTAACATTGTGTTCTTCCCTCAGATTGTGTCTGTGGCTTCCAGGCTACTGCAGGTAAGAAAATGACCCACATGGCTAATTATGTACATACAGGACATGGTGTGTGATTATGTTTTATTAATTTTATTTCTTTTTTTTTTAGCACAGGCAAGTTATGCATCACTTAACATGTATTGTACACACACATCAGTTCCTGTCCTGAAGGAGCTTACAATCTTAGGGCCCTATCTCGCATGCATGCATACATACACATATCCAGGAATCTTACTACTTGGCCTCAGGTGTTTATTATTTGAATTAAAGAGGGAGAGACAATGCACCAATCCTGGTGTTGCAATGGTCTGGCGCTTGCCATTTTTCTGTATTGGTTAGGGTTGTGACTAGAGATGAGCGAATCGAACATGACGAAGTGGAATTCGTTCCGAAGATTTGGAAAAATTCGATTCGCACCGAATCCGAAGATTAGCACACTTCGGATGCACGAATCGAATTTTCCAAAAAATGGCGGCGACATGTGTGGCGACGGAGCGGGGATCTCTGGAAAGGCGCGCAGACAAGGCGCGCTGACCCATAATGCATTCATTCATGACATGTGATCGCATTAGCCAATCAGCAGCCAGCCAGCCAGCACTGTGTAATGGTGGAGCTATAAATCGCGGCCATCTTAGAATTCTCCATTAGCCTCTGGTCATTCAAGACAGACAGACCTGTGTGTATGAAGGGAGTTACACAGAGACTTTAGGGCCACAGAGACTTTAGGGCCACAGAATCGTTACTCAGGGACACAGAATCGTTACTCCAGGACACAGAATCGTTACTCAGGGCTGCAGTTTTGCCGACACAGAATCGTTACATACACCCTTTTTTTTTTTGGTGGCTGTATGTCGCACAGTTGGTGCTGCAGTTTGCAGGGACACAGAATCGTTACTTAGGGACCACAGCTATCAAAGAATCGAAAATTTAAAGTGACATACACCCTTTTTTTTTTTTGGTGGCTGTCGTGCACACAGTTTCCAGCCAACGGCAGTTTGCCGATTGTGCAAATAAACTGACTTTCTGCTTCACAACCACTATTGTACGTTCAAAGAGTTAAATCCATTTACACGCCGGCTGGCGGTAATATTTTTTGGGTGATTAGTGCATTCCAGTGACACAAACGTACAGTTTCCAGCCAACGGCAAGCTGCAATTGACCGATTGTGCTAAATAAACTGACTTTCTGCTTCACAACCACTATTGTACGTTCAAAGAGTTAAATCCGGTTTTATTTTTGGGGTGCTTATTGAATTAAAGAGTATGTCAGAAAACACGCAGAGGAGTGGCAGAGGAGGCAATGTTTCAGGAGCGAGCAGACGTGGCAGCAGAGGAAGGGGTCGAGGCAGCACTAGTCGCAGCCAGAGGCCAGTGCTCCCGGTGTCATCCAGCGGTCGTGTCTCCACCGACAACCCTGCCGTCATCGATTGGTTGACTCGGTCGTCTTCCTCTTCCCAGGTCACCTCTGACACCTACAGCCAACGGTCGGTGGGTACGTCAGACACAACCGTTAGTTGGCATGGCCCGGGAGCAAGCCCACTGAAATCACGTGTCCTCGACCTGCCCCTGTCCTTTGGTGTTCCCTCACCAAGCGAAGTATCGCATGCTGTGGGCTCAGCCCCACTGTACAGTGAGGAAGAGCTAACAGAGGGCGGTCAGGAACGGGGGGAGACATCCGCCTCTTCAGCAGCCAGGCGAAGAAGTACTGGCGAGGAGAGTGGCTCGGTAGCCGGTCTAGAGACAGGTCTGTCTCCTGACCCACACGCAGCCGAGGGGGCTAGTAGTGACGCGGAGACCCTAATTGATGATGATGATGAGGCTGATCGCACTTGGCAGCCTCGTCGTCATCAGGCTATTGCTTCCGCATCATCAGGAGAAGAGGGTGCCAGCTTGCCAGCGAGCAAAACAGTCGGTGGGTTGCCCAGGAGGCAGCAGGGTCGCAGCAGTGTCAGTGGAGCCAAACGGCACGGAGTAGAGCACCAGCTCCACTGCAGCCTACCACCACGGCCAGTAGTGGTGCCGGTGTGCACGAGGAAGTAGCAGTCAGCCAGTGAGGAGTAGCGGGGGCAAAGTTTCCTACTCGGCGGTGTGGCAATTTTTCGTCAAGCCGCCCGAGGAAGTAAACGTAGCCGTATGTCGACTATGTGGCCAGAAAGTCAAGCGTGGCCAGGGGGCCAATGTTGGGACTACAGCGTTGCGTCAGCATATGCAGCGTCGCCATTCGGTGGCCTGGGAAAACCGTGATAAAGATACGGCGGTTCTGCCTGCCCCAGCCCCCGCTCCATCACCCGCTCCGTTACTTGCTCCGTCACCCGACGTCAATCGCCCTCTATCAGCCAGTCAAGGCTCCAACACCTCTGCTGAGGGGAGTTGTCGCTCGTTGGCATCTTCCGCTCGTTCAGATGCTCCTTCTCCTGCTACTCCTCTTCACGGATTCCGTCAGCAGTCTTTCTTGGAATCCGTTTCCAAGAGACAACAGTTTGCGAGCACGCACCCGACGGTGCAGAAGCTGAACGTCCTCCTGTCCAAGTTGCTGGTGCTGCAGTCCCTCCCTTTCCAAGTGGTGGACTCAGCACCTTTCCGAGAAATGATGGCTTGTGCCGAGCCGCGGTGGAGAGTGCCAAGCCGGCATTTCTTCGCCAAAAAGGCAGTGCCAGCCCTGCATTCACATGTAGAAGAGATGGTGGGCCAGTCTTTGAGCATGTCGGTCTCTGCCAAAGTGCACGGCAGCGCCGACGTGTGGAGCTGTAACTACGGTCAGGGACAGTACATGTCATTTACGGCCCACTGGGTGAACGTGCTGCCGGCACAGCCGCACCAGCAACTTGGACAGGTCACGCCGCTTTTGCCTCCACGTTTGCACGTCCTTGGTCCAGCAAAGATGTCCGCCTCTACCACCTCTTCTTCCGCCGTGTCCTCAGCCGCCACCCCCCCCCCCGTGCCAAGTCCCATTACCCGACCGGCATATCACATGTGCAGGGCGCAACGGTGTCACGCTGTGCTGCACCTGGTATGCCTTGGCGAACGTAGTCACACAGGGGAGGAACTTCTGAGTGTAATGAACAGAGAAATCGACAGATGGCTGTCTCCGCGCAAACTGAAAATCGGAACCATGTTGACCGACAACGGAAAGAACATGGTGTCTGCTCTGCGTCAAGGAAGGTTGTGCCATGCGCCATGCATGGCTCACGTGTTCAATCTGGTTGTCAAGCGGTTCCTAAAATCCACCATCCCACTGCAAGACATCCTTAAAATGTCACGTAAACTTTGCATGCATTTCAGCCATTCCTACACCGCAAAGCACACCCTCCTTGAGCTGCAGCGGCAGAACGGAATTCCACAGCATCGCCTGATCTGCGACGTTGCAACAAGGTGGAATTCAACCCTACATATGTTAGACCGCCTTTACGAACAGCGAAAGGCCATCACCGATTTCCTGATGTTACAAGCGGATAAAGGTACTCCCCTGTGTAACTTAGATGTCAGCCATTGGCAGCTCATGCGTGACACCTGCCGCTTGCTCAGGCCCTTTGAGGAGGCCACACTATTCGTGAGTCGGCAGGACTATGGGATGAACGACGTCATTCCTCTGTTGCACGTCCTGGAACAAATGCTGTTAACAATGGCTGGTCAGGGTGCGGTAGACGTTGGCGCACAGATCTCAACGCCACATGACCCCTGTGGGGGCAGGACAGGAAGAAGAGGAGGTAGAGGAGGACATTGGTGCTCAGGAATTATTGAGTGAAATGGGTGGTTTTTCCACTCAGCGGACAGGAGTGGAGGAGCAGGAGCATCTGGTAGAGGAGGAGGAGGAGACAGAGGACCCAGACGCACCGTGGCAGTATGCTGTGGAGATCGAGGCAGGGAGTCCCTCGCATTCCTTGGCACAAATGGCCCATAGCATGCTCGGTTGCTTGCGTAGCGACAGCCGAATAATAACCATCAGACAGAGGGATGACTTTTGGCTGTCCACCTTGTTGAACCCTCGCTACCGTTCAAAAATGGTGGCCTTTTTCACACCTGCTGAGAGGGAGGCCAAAATAAAGTACTATAAAAACCACCTATGTAGTCAGTTGGTCTCTGCCTTTCTGCGCCAACGTCCATCCTCAGACACTGTGGGCCCTGTGCGCTCGCGTTCCGCTGCCATGGCAGCAGGGGAGGGGTGGGGTGGTAGGAGCAGTGGCAGCTCCACCAGCAGCGCTGCCTCAGTCTGCAGTCGATGATGAGTAGCTTTCTTCACCAGCGCAGTGAGGAAACTACTAACCAGCCGCAGCAGCAGCAGCATCAGGTGGACCTGGAGCAGGACCTCAAACAGGCTTGGGCCTACTTGGACAGCACCCTGCCAACCGAGGTAGACAATCCCCTTGACTACTGGGCAACGAAACTTGACCTTTGGCCCCAACTAGCTGAATTTGCCCTTGAAAGGCTGTCATGCCCGGCCAGTAGCGTGGCATCGGAGCGCGTGTTTAGTGCGGCAGGAGGTATTGTAACTCCGCGGAGGACACGACTGTCCACCCAAAGTGTGGAGAGACTCACGTTTGTGAAAATGAATCAGGCGTGGATTAGTCTGGATTTCAAACCACCAGTTCCTGACACAACTGACTAAATCCGCCATGAATCATGCCCCAAACATGTTATTATTTTTAACATAGGCCTCTGTATGGCCTTCAATTTAAGCTGCTTACGCTTCGCCACTCTGCCATGGGCCCCTGTACCGCCTCCTCTTGCTGCTGCCAGGTCCAGAGTGTGTCATGGGTCCCTGTACGGCCTCCCATTGCTGCTGACTTCATCGCCAGACTCTGCCATGTGCCACTTTCAGGTCTCCTTACACTGTTGGTGGGTTCCATTTTGTGATAGGGTGCTGTATGGCCTTCCATTGCTGCTGCCTCCACCGCCACCCTGCGCCATGTGCCTCTGTCGTCTGCTCACGCTGCTGACGGCTTCCGCTTTTTAACCTAGGCCTGTGTATGGCCTTCAATTGAAGCTGCTTCTGCTCCGCCACTCTGCCATTGGACTCTTGATAGTGGTCTCCCCACGCTGCTGCTGGGGGGACTTTTTAACATAGGCCTCTGTATGGCCTTCAATTTTAGCTGCTTACGCTCCGCCACTCTGCCATGGGCCCCTGTACCGCCTTTTCATGCTGCTGCCAGGCCCGTAATCTGCCATGGGCCCCCGTACCGACTCCTCATGCTGCTGCCAGGCCCGTAATCTGTCGTGGGCCCCTGTACCGCCTCCTCATGCTGCTGCCAGGTCCAGAGTGTGTCATGGGTCCCTGTACGGCCTCCCATTGCTGCTGTCTCCATCGCCACACTCTGCCATGTGCCACTTTCAGGTCTCCTCACACTGCTGGTGGGTTCCATTTTGTCATAGGGTGCTGTGTGGCCTCCCATTGCTGCTGCCTCCACCGCCACACTGTGGCTCCACACTCTGGTTTTGGCCCCGTGACTGCCCAAATGAGTGAAGTGTGCGGTAATTCTAAGATCGACGGCACTCATCTGCATGTCATACTGACTGACAGTATTATTTCTCTTCCCCAGCAGACTCCAAGGGCATTTAAATTAAAGGTACAGTGTTCTGCACTAATATAAAGGCTCTCTGAAGCCTAGAAACACCCTTTTTATAAGTTAAATTTGCGACGAATATATTCGGATCGAATCAAATTTTTTCGGCGAATTCGGCGAATCAGCCGAACCGAATTTTTGAATAATTCGCTCATCTCTAGTTGTGACCAATCCTATCATGTCAGCATTGAGATTTAGTGATACAGTCAGGATCATCGTTAGATTAATGTAATATGTTGATTTCCCCCCCCCCCCCCCCTTTTTTTTTTTTTTTTTTTTTTCTTCCCTCCCTGCTATCCTTTAGACATCCCCCTTCTTCACCTCTCCTTTCTTCCTCTACTGAATCCCGCCCCAGGAAAATGCCCTGGCAAGCCTAAGCTCTGACAGTATGGCCGATAGACAGCACCCGTTTTACTAATGCATATTCCATAGTGCAGCGTTGAGAAATGTTTTCAGTTGAACTATATTGTTTTACCTTTTGTCGTTTCTGACTCTGAAGAAAACATGCTTCAATTAGAGAATTGTCACGCATCACATATACTGCACTGTATGTACAACAGCTATGCACTGTATGTACTACACCTTGCTTTACTAGCCAAGAGTTTATGCGATCTGGGGTATCAGGATTTATATAGAGTTAGACTCAAATGTGCAAAAAGGCAAGTTTAATCATTGCAAGCTCACAAATGTTATTATAGGACCACCACACTATATCACAAAGTGGAGTCAATTTAGCAGGGGGTGTGTGAAATTGCCTTGAGAAACTGTAAGGTATTTGAGTATTATACATATGTAAATAGAAGAACCATCAATAAATACACAAAAGGGCTCAAGATATATTGGTGGAGAGTTAAAGTAAACTTGCCAAAAATGAAAGAAACCAAAAGCCTATATAAGTTTGTTTTAAACACAATGGTGCTGATTCATCAAGCTACTAATCATCACAGCATTTAAGGCACTTTAAAGTGTGGTTAAGGCATGCTAAAGTGGTTTTTCAACCAATATCATAAATCATTGCCGCCTCAGATGTATCTACATACTACTTATGTTATTACTGTCATTTTTTGGATGTGAACCTTCTAAATAAAGAATTAAAAAAATTGATATTAATGACCAGGACATCCAACTTCAGTCATCAAGATCAACACAGTCCAGGAGTTTGGAAATTAGAGTAATTTTACATATTGTAGTTAACAACACTTTTCTTCACTCACTGGTGTCTGTTAACTAGAACATTCTAGAAGTGTGAGGGTTTTGACTTGCCTGGGGTTGGATATCTGTAGACATTACAGTGTGAGATTTCCTCATTTCATTGAAAACTGCAAGCTGCCTGCCATGGTGGCAGATGTGGCTTGTAGTTTCTGTGCTGATTTTAAAATGTGACAGCAGCTGCAGGGTAGAAGAACCCCTTCCCACTGTCATGGGGGGTGCAGCATAATAACATGTTACACTCTAAATACGGGTGTAACATAACATGTTACTAAAGATGAACTTATCCTTTAAAGTAGATGTAAACCCTAACTGAGCACATTTCATTTTATAAAACTCAATATCTGAAAAAAATACTGTTTTACCGTTACATGAGTGCTGCTGAAATCCTCTTTCAGCCACCTCCTGTCTATATGCATTCAATCCATTGTTGACTGCACATCATGTTCAGTCTTCCTGATAGTGGCAACAGTGGAGCATACTTGTGCAGTGTGTGTTTCAGCACGACGTCTTGTAGCTTCATTCAGGGGCATAAGTGACAATGACATTATAGGAAAAAAACTGGGAGACAGTTTTTCACTCTAATATCAGGAAGTACCACGACAAGGACCTTTATGGCAGGATCACCAGGTATGGGTTTAATGAAAGCAGCAGATTTAAACAGAGTGAAAACAATTTATGGACTTACATTAAAGCTGAATTCCAGGTATGGCTTTGTTTCCATAGTTATGTCATATCTGTGGGATCTCTGTGGAAGTGAAAAATCACTTCTGGGTCCCACATAACGCCTCGCATTTTTCTCAATTAATGCAAAGTATTCTCTCATTGAACAAGGTGGAGATTGTAATGTCACTGCCCATTTTTTCACCTTGTCCAATTAGATTGCATTGCATTCATTGAGAAAATTGCAAGGTGTTCTGTGAATGGTGCCTGTGCCATGTGAGTAACCCCTTCTGTTCACTATGTAGCAGGGAAGATGGGACCTGGAAGTTAGCAGCAATCACTGTTGTAGCAGTAACTAGTACAGTGATTATCCATTTACATGGGGATCAACAAATATGAAGTATGCATGACGTTGGTCCAAGTTGAATCAATGTAACCATGCAAAAACAAAAAAAATACCTACCTGAAATTCTGTTAAATCTTACATGAGATTTTAGTCATTGGCTTTAGATATACTTTTATTTATCTACAGGCTGGCAAAATTTTAGAGATACCAGTTATAGTGACTGAACAATACCCTAAAGGACTTGGTCCCACTGTGCCAGAGCTCGGAACTGATGGCATCAAGAAATACTCCAAAGACCTGCTTCACTATGTTGATCCCGGAAGTGGAGAAGGAACTCCAGTCCTTTCCTGAGAGACGTTCTATTATTCTCTGCGGCATTGAGACACAGGCCTGCATTACGGTATTTGTAGCTGAATATTTATTGTTAGAGGAGGATACTATTTAGCACATTTTGTTAAAGATAGTTTTGATGGCCATATGTGTAAATATTAGTTACCAAAGGAAAAAATATGTACTTCATATGTATGTAAAGGCAATGTTTTGTTTTGTCTTGAATAGAGTAGGGAAGGGCTAGACCCTCTGTCAGGTTTTTGGGGGTTTTTTTGTTGGTTTTTTTTTTGCGGTTTGTGTTCCCTCTGGAGAGATTCACCCCTCAATTTTCCTATTGACCACTGTCACTGAGAAAGTGATGTAAATCCAAAATTTTACAATTGTCACAAGACCTTTACTTTCATTGGGGACAAATGTTTCAGTGACAACTGTTGAAGACAACAGTTCTGTCCCTTTGTTGAAATTTCTTATCCTTTCTTGTAGAGGCTTCAGGACAAGAAATTATTATTATACAGTATATAGCGCCAACGGTTTGCTCAGCACTGTACATTATAATGGGAGACAGTACAGTAACAATACAATACACGAGGGGTTCGAGGGCCCTGCTCCTTGGAGCTTACAATCTAGGAGGGAGGGGAGAGTGGTACAGGAGGAAATAGCTGTGGGGGGTGGAGTGGTGGGAGGAGTGGAGGAGATTAGCAATTAGGTGAGGGCGGGGTAGGCTTCTCTGAAGAGATGGGTTTTCAGGGTGCGCCTAAAGGTGAGGAGGGAAGGTGACAGTCTGGTGGATTAGGGTAGTGAGTTCCAGAGGATGGGGAAAGTCCTGGAGATGGGCATGGGAGGAGGAGACCAGGGAACTGGAGAGTAGGAGGTCTTGTGAGGAGCGGAGAGTGCGTTTTTGAATAAATGAAATGAATGGAAAGTTCTTCAGCAGGACACATACAGGAGAAAATAACTGTAGGAGAGGTTTTAACCCTTACGCACTCTGTTCACAATGAACAAAAAAAAGTTTTGTCCCTTTTTATTGGTGACTGTGCTCTGCTCTGTTGTGGCCTATGTATCCATATCACACCTACCATCCCAGTTTGTACAATACAGACACCTGTGCTCTTGCTCCTAGTTAGAGACTGACAATTACAGGGAAAGAAAGGCGCCACAAAGCTGAGATAGTAGATATGACAGAACAGAGTGTCAGTGGGTTTACACTCAGTGTTTCCTACCCTCATTCAGATCTGGACACATTTACCTGATAACTGATCCCTGTTACTGGTAATCCATCTTGTTCCTGTTTCAAAACTATCTGTTCTACTAATTGTTTTTTCAGAGTACCACCTTGGATCTTCTGGAAAAGGGCTTTGATGTCCATGTTGTAGCTGATGCTTGCTCATCTCGCAGGTATGTTTTTTGTTTCCTTTTTTTATTACATCAGGCATATTCATGACAAGGGGTAACTGAATAGTAAACAATCTCTATAACTATATAACTCTAAAACTAGATTTAAAAAAAGAACTCTATCCCCCTGAGATTCTGAGCACTAGGATGCAATCTGGAATACAGATCCTCTGCTATGCTGTTGCCTGTACAGGTGTACCTCGGTTTACAAACGCCTTTGTTAACGTAATTTTCGGTTTACGAATGAAGATCCATTGAAAATAATGCCTCGGTTTACAAATTTTTAAATGCAATTGCTGGCTTCTTTTTTTTCTTCACTACAGCTCACAGAAATAGCTGTCACTTTCCCCAGAGTAAAAGGAAACTTTGTTTCTTTTAAGAAACTAAAAGGAAACATTGTTTTTCTTTTAACTTGGGAAATAAACTAAAAGGAAACTTTCTCTGTTAGCTGGGGGGAAAGTGACAGCTGAATCTCTGAGTTATAGTGAAGAAAAAAAAAAGTGGTAATTACATTTAAAAACCGGCACCATAATAAAAAAAAAACGGTGTGGAGTCCCCTCTCTCATCCATACCAAGCCCTTTGGTATTGAGGGGAAATATGACATTCATTTTGTTTACCTTCATTTAAAAGTGTAATTCCAGCCCTAAAAATATCCCCTCTATCCTCCTACCACCTATGCTGGCTAACCTGTGTATATACTTGCTTATCTTCAGCCAATTTTGGTTTGGTCACATGATCGGGCTCCCTTGTGTCAGCTAAAGGCAGCTGCAGGGAATGGGACGTTGACAACGAATGGCCCATAGGAACATATGGGTGACATCTTCGCTCCAGGATTTACCTGCCATTATCGAGCAATCTCTCTTCTTCCCTGCAGCTTCCGCTGGCTTACACAGTGGATGAAGTAACCAGACTGGAGCAGACTGAAATAGGTAGGTATATTCACCTTTTTTACACAGGTTAGTCCGCATACGTGTTTAGGAGGGGGAGGGGACATTTTTAACACGAGTTAGGTTTAAGCTAGAATTCTATTTTAAGTATCTCCTAGATTGTAAGCTCGAAAGAGCAGGGCCCTCGATCCCCTCATGTTTTGCATTGTATTGGTATTGTTCTGTCCCCCTTTGTAATGTACAGCGCTGAGCGAACCATTGGCGCTTTATAAATACTGTATAATAATAAGTATCTTCTGTGTTTTGAGAAATATCATACATTGTAACAGGATGATTGTTTTGTCAGTCAGGTGGACCGTCTTGTGGCTCTTAACCGCCTTAAGCAAAGTGGAGCTTTTCTAACCACAAGTGAAGGGGTGATCTTACAGTTACTGCAGGACTCTTCCCATCCCAAATTTAAACAGGTAATAACTAGACCATTTACAGTGTCTGCAACTAGATGTCACAAGTGCCACCATTAAAAAAGTGCTATATGTTTAAAACCATGTTTCTCTTATGTTCATTGACGGACACAATGTCCTCTTCTTTATCCATGACTAAGTAGGGTTTTATAGCCACCTAATAAAACTTCAGCACCTCCTAAGGGCAGTCCTTTCTGGACATAAAACCCCCTCTCTGCTATAGGACTCCAGTCATTCTGCCTAGTGTCTTCAGGTGTATGGACGTATTTTTTTCTTTTGGGACTTATGGTCCCATGGCCTTTTATTTTTTCCTGTGGAGATCTTCTGTCAACAGACAGGCTGGATAATCTAGATCCAGTGGTCACCCCAGTCTGATCAGTGAGCGCGTGCAACCTGTTAGCTGGGTTGGCCGCAATGATGCCCCACGGACAGGGGTGGCCAGCAAGTTAAACGTCTAGCAGGGACACATATGACCGGTGCCTACAGTCTGTGTCAGTGTTACCATTGGCAGACAGCCCCCCACTCTCTGGTGGAGAGGAGAATCTGTCGTGGGAGACTTACCTGCACACTCCAGGGATTGGTAAGTAAAAATGCCCCCTCCCTTCCCTCCCTGGGTCTGGCAGAGGACTTGGGTGCTCCCTGGGGTGGTCGGCCCTGTGGGGTCCCTTCAATCCCCCCCCAGACTTTGATGGTGGCTTGCTTTCCTCCCCACCCCCCAGACAGAGGCTTGCTTGCTTGCACTCTGGCCTGGGCTAACCTTTGAGGTAGGCTGGCAGTTTTTGCATGGTGATACTTGCTGCTTTTATCTGACACCCCTCTCTGCCAGTTTAGTTGCCTTGTCCAGTGAGAGGCCAGCGCCGCATCAGGAGGGGCAGGTCTCGGAAGGATAGACTGCAGGCGGGCTGGGGCATCGCCTTGTTGCCTCCAGGCACTTCTCAAGGTTTCTGCCTCTAGTGATGGGTCGACTGCTGGTGGCCATCTTTGTGTAGTCCCAGTCGGTGCCATTTTCCAGGTGTCCTGCTGGCAGTAGCTCACATGATCTACACCTCTACATTTGGTAGGTGACAAGTTACCAATAATAGTTATATGTATCATCAATTAAGCACTACACTGACAGTTTTATAATTTCAGATCATTGCGGTGGCAGCCTGTGTTTCCCTCTACACATGCTTGTGCTCCTGCTGGAGCCTGGGGTCTCACACAAGGATCCCTGGTACAAGGTCCCCCCTGCTTCTGCCTGGAGGTCAAGTAGGTGGGGCTTGTCCATGCCTGGTTCCTGTGCCCTAGGACATTCGGTGGTATGGGAAGGCACTGTAGGCGCAGCCTATCCTCTGGGCTGGGTTACTGTGGCTGAACGTTGGAGATCCACGCGTTCAGGGGGGGACTCCCTGTGGTCGGGCGGGCTCTAGAGTGTTTCATCAAAACAATCCTGATGTCCCTTCCCTGAAGTCCTCGGAGGAAGAATATGGGTCCTCTGCTGCAGTGGTCACACAGGGATCAGCGTATTCGCCGCTTTCATGGCTGCAATAAGACCTGAGGTCATCCAAAGTGCCTGTTTGTTTTTCCCCAATCGCTTTGAAGCACGTTACCGCTTTGAAGAGTTTCTCCAGGAGAAGTGGACCTCTCTTCCTGTGGTGGCCCTCCTATATCCTGGCTGACCAAGGCACTGGTGAGAAATCTCCCTCCTGCAAGGGTCCTGCGGATCGCAGGTCGGAGGTGGTGGCCCGTTCCCTGTTCACCATCACCAGGTCTGCATTCTGGCCTGTCCTGGAATCCCTGCATTGAACAGATTGGGTCAAGGTTCCCCGATAAGCCTTGACATCTAGATACTTGCCTCAAGCGCATGTGAAGCTGTTGTGCCATTTGTTCCAGGGCCTAAAGTACGTTTGTGACGTGTCAGTTGACACAGCTCCATTCCTCAAAAGTTTCCATTTTGGTGGTAGTGCTGTAGCGAGTTCTGTGGGTCCAGTGTTGGTCTGCTGATCAGACCTCCAAATATGCTTGGCGGACTTCCAGGAGACCGGCTGTTTGAGACTGCGCTGGACGATATGGTCAAGAACCTTTTCGGTGACGAGGGTTCTTTTTTGTTCAAGAAGGGAAAAGGCCCACGCAGGAGAATGGGACCTAACTTCTTGGCGCATAGGCAGATTTTTCATTCCCCTGGGTCCACAACAAAGGCTCTGTGGATGGCGCCAAGCATCCCTGGCCCCAGAAGCCTACGAGTTCTAGGGTGGGGGGATGCCTTTGCTGGGGGCCGGGTCAGTGGACTTCCCTTATTCCCGCTAAGTGGGTCCATGAATACATTCCTCCTTGCTACAAAATGGGTTTGCATTAATTTCCGCCAGGCAGGTTCTTCACTTTGAGTCTGTGGTTCTTGCTGACTGTCTGCAGGCCCTGTATAGCTTCTTCGGCTAATGATATTTCATTGCCCGAGTCGGAGCAGTTCAGTTGGTTCTTACTCCACCTGTTCACAGTTCCAAAGGAGTTCCAGAAGTCGGTGTTGACCTTATCCAAATGCTTGGTGTATTTGGGGCTGATCCTCGATTCTGAGCTGGCCTAGGGGTTTTGCCCATTAGACAAACTATAGAAACTTTCATCGGTGGTCCGGCAGATCTGGTCTCTCAAGTGACCCTCCCTGCGTTTTTAGCATTCCGGCTTTGGGCATGATGGTGGCTATGTTCGTAGTGGTTTACTATGTCCAGTTGCATACAAGAACACTGTAGAGGGCGATCTTATCCAAGGGACTTGTTTTTTCTGCCCTGGGCATTCGAATTTATCGGGGGCAGTTGGCCTATCGCCTCTGGTGGCTGTGGTCACTGGCTCTACGAAACAGAAGGTCCTTTCTTCCTCCTCAGGGGACTGTGGTCACTGTGGTTGCCAGCCTGTCGGGCTGGGATGGAGTCTTTGGATTGGACTCGACTGGACTCTGAAGGTTGCTTGGCTGCCCATCACTGCTCTGGAGCTTGGGTGAGCAGGTTATCAATAACGTATTGGACAGATCGCTTTTGGGGTCTGCCGACTTGGCTCCGCTCAGACAATTCCTCCATGATGGCATGTCACTCATCAGGGGGCACAGAAAGGACAGCAGCGGCTCTGGAGGCTTCTCACATCCCGGGATGGCCAAAGGGTTTGTTCTGACTGTCTGCTGTGCATGCCCCAGGAGTTGTACACTGGCCAGCGCGTTATTTTAGCCACCAGATGCTGGATTGGGAAGGGGTCCCTTTTCCCAGAAGTGTGGTTCTGCTTCTGCTGGGAGACAGGTCTCTACTGGAGTCATGTCTCAACTGAATAGTGCTATGGTTCATGGCATGATCGCTGAACTCCTGGCGGATGTGACGAAGTGCTGCTGGTACTGTGGCATCAGCACGTTCTTCGCCATTAATTCTCTGTCTACTTCACACAATGGAGGCTGAGAGGGTCCCGATCATCCTGTGGCTTTAGACTGGCCTTACAGTCCATGTACACCGATGTGTTGCGGTGTTGGAGGACACTCCTTGGCATCTGCCTCTTCAAGGGGATCTTCTATATCAGGGCCAGTGTTCCACTCTGCTTTACCATCGCTGGCTTTGCCTGTGTGGCTTGGTGATTCTGACTGTTAATGGCTTGTAAGTCTACCTCCTGGTAGATTTGTCATCGTACCTGGAGAAAACGGTTAGTGCGAATCTCTGGGGTTCCATCTTTGCCCCTTTTCAGAGGCTCAGGTGTTGGCCTTTCTCCACAGTGGTGTGGATCAAGCACTAGCATTTAGCACTTTTAGGGGTCCAATCTCTGCTCTGGCCATTTTCTTTCAGCATCCCGGAGCTGCACTTTCTTGGTGCGCACTTTCAAGAGGGGGTTCGTCATATGGTGCCTCCGGTGAGCTCTGCATTGCCTCCGTGGAACCTTGAATTTAGTATTGTTGGCTCTTCTGAGGCCTTCTCTTGAGAGCGTTCAGTATAATCTTTTAGTTATGCTTGTACAGAAAATTGCCTTCTTGGTCACAGTCTCTTTGTCTCGGACAGTTTCGGGGTTGGCAGCTTTGTCCTGTACACTGCATTACCTGGTTTTCCACAGGATGAGTGGTGCTTCGACCCTCCTCTTCTTTTGGAGGTGGTGTCGGACTTTCCCTTCAATGATGACTTGTCCTTACTTCTGTGTTCTCAACCGGCACTTCCTAAGGTGGTGGATCTGCATTTCATGGACGTGGTTCATGTGATAGCGTGTACCTTTCTCTGCTGGCTGCCTTTCAAAATATCTGTTTTTCTTTGTGCTCACGGATGGTCTGAAGACTGGCTTGGTAGCCTTTTCTGCCACTATTTCTCTTTGGATTCGACTGACCATTGTGCAGTTATATGCCTTTTAGTGTGCAGGATATTACCTTACCTGTCTGCCGGAGCGGTTCGCACCTCATGAGCGTTCCGACATCAGGAGTCTGTTTTGTCGTGTTTGCAAGAGGTGACTGGGTCTTCTGCCACACGTTGCCTATGTTTATAGAGGTGATGTGTTCTCATCCTCCAGTGCTTGTTTTTGGCCGCAGTGGTTTTCAGACGGCTGTTTAAAATTCCTGAGCACCCCTTGGGGTGGTTCTGAGTTTTGGCATGTGCTCTGGGTTTTTTTTCTACATTAGCTGGTGTGCCCACCCCTCATTTTGGTACTGCTTGGGGACATCCCTACTTAGTCATGGATAAAGAAGAGGACGCTGTGTCCGTCAATGAATGTAAGAGAAAACGGGATTTTTTTGTTACTCACTTTAAAATAATTTTCTCTGAGTTCATTGACGGACACAGAACCCACCCCTCTGGAATTTTTTTTCTCCTTTTGACACTGCTTGTGACTGACTGGAGTCCTATAGCAGAGAGGGGGTTTTATGCCCAGAGAGGACTGCCCATAGGAGGTGCCAAAGTTTTTTTTTTTTTTTCTGCCTAGTGTCCTACTCCTGTAGGTGGGGCTATAAAACCCTACTTGGTTATGGGTAAAGAAGAGAACGCTGCATCTGTCAATTAACTCAGAGAATTTATGAGAATATATGAGTACTGTGAGTAAACAAAAAAAAATCCAGTTTTTCATGCATGAATAAGAGCAAGGGTATTTGTTGATAGGCTGAAGGCTTGTGTCAGTTTAAGAAACTGTTGACATCATTCCGTAATTGACAGATGTGTTTGCCTGCTTTTTAAGTGGGTTTTACATTCCAATCCATTGTAGATTGCAAAACCTGCTTGAAGCAAACAAATGTCCATTGACACAGGCCTTAAAGTGGTTGTAAAGGCTCAAGGTTTTTTACCTTCAGGCACTCTATGCATGAAGGTAAAAAAACTTTCTGTGTGCAGCAGTGCCCCCAGCCCCTTCAATACTTACCTGAGCCTCGTCACGATCCAGCAATGTAAATGACACCCTTGGCTGTCACGGGTCTCTGCCTCATTTGGCTGAGACAGCAAGTGGGAGCCATTGGCTCCCACTGCTGTCAATCATAGCCAGTCAGCCAATGAGGAGAGAAAGGGCCGGGCCAAGCAGCGGATCCGTGTATGAATGGACAAAGAGCAGCGGGTGCCCCTATAGTAAGCCGCTTGCTGTGGGGGCACCTGACAGGAGGGGCCAGGAGAGCCTGTGGGGGACCCGAGAAGAGGAGGATCCGGGCTGCTCTGTGCAAAACCACTGCACACAGTAAGTATGGACATTTGTTATTTTCTGGAAAAAAAATTAACCTTTTTTAGAATCGCTTTAAATTTTGCACTGAAAGAAATTACAGGAAAAAAATTGTGATTTGGTTATGTGACGCAGTACAAACACTTTTATGCCAGACTCCATTTTGAGCCCTGTTGTGTTTTATGTGATGTCATGTACTCTACATTCTAATTTTTTTTTTTTTGTCTTTCAGGTTCAGAAACTCATAATAGAGCCAGCACCTGACAGCGGCCTCTTGTCTCTCTTTTAAAATAAAATCTTGCCACATAAGATCCCATGGGGAAACATATCAATCCTTGATTTCAAAATACTGACATGAATGTAAAATATATGTAAGTTACGGTAATCCTAATAAAAGTATTATATTTTAATATAAAAGGTTTTTGTGTATCACAAGTGCTTGTAAAAGTAGTGCATTAATATGTACAAACCCATGCATATTCAGGCACAATATTAGAGGTCTCAAAAATATGTTCACTGTACATATTTGACAAATCTGTACAATCTGGTGTTTTGGAACCCATGATGAATTTCTGTATTTCTTGAACTAAATTTGCACAGTTTTTGCAAATACATGCCAACATAGTTATGGGATACAAACTTCCATCCTGCCTCAACAATGGATTGGCCTGTGCACATTCATTTTCACTAACATGCATTTGTAGGGCATCCTCAGAATGAAAGCAAATATTCTTCTCTGTAAAAAAAAAAAAAAAAAAAAAAAAAATAATGGATATTACCTAACATTCTTCTGAAGTGTGTTTGTCCAAATAATCATTATTTGTGGGGCTAACAATATCTTCTGGTACTCTCTAATGCAAATAGGAGCACTGGTATTACTTATTAAAGTGCAAAAAACAGGTCATACAAATCTTGCATTTTTTGCACTTTAGGAGTGCTGCTATTACTTAAAGTGGTTGTAAATGTTCAAGGATTTTTACATTTATGCATGAAGGTAAAAGACCTTCTGTGTGCAGCAGCTCCCCTAGCCCACTCAATACTTACCTGAGCCTCATCGCGATCCAGTGATGTGAATGACAGCCTCAGCTGTCCCAGGTCTCTACGTCCTCATTGGCTGAGACAGCAAGTAGGAGCCATTGGCTCCCACTGCTGTCAATCACAGCCAGTCAGCCAGTGATGAGAGGGGGGGCCAAGTCACCGCTCCACGTGTGAACGGACACACAGAGCAGCGGGTGCCCCCATAGCAAGCTGCTTGCTGTGGTGGCACCCGACAGACAGGAGAGCCTGCAGGGGATCCAAGAAGAGGAGGATCCAGGCTGCTCTGTGCAAACCCACTGCACACAGCAGCTAAGTATAGACATGTTTCTTATTTTACACACACACACAAAAAAAATTAACCTTTACAATCGTTTTAATAATCACATTAAAAAGTGCCACTAGAGGGCACTAGCATTGCAGCAGCTCCTTGAGAGATTACAGTACATTTCTTCTCTCTCTTAGCGCAGGTGATATCTTCTATACTGAATATTTGCGAGTAGAAAAAATATATTCATTTTCCTTTTGTAACTTGCACAAGGAATATAACAAGAATCTCATTGGTTGCTGGAAAAAACACAGACACTTGATTTGTTCCAACTTCTGGCTAAATGCAATAACTTACAATCCAAATATAAGAATTCAGTAATAAAGCAAGGATGTGAAATTATTATTTCAAATAAAAGGCCAAAAATAATTTTTTTTTTTTAAATACTGGATGTACTGTAGTAAATGTATACCATATAAAGAATGCCCTTTTTGCTTTACAAATGTAAAAGCAAAGATGTGACATGAATACAAACATGCCATACTTACCTGCTTTGTGCAATAGTTTTGCAGGGCAGCCCCAATCCTCCTCTGCTCAGGTCCCCTGCCAGTGCTCTTGGCTACCTGGGACCCCGCACCCTAGCCCTGCTCTGTGTGTCCATAAGGCACACAGAGCTCTACTTGGCCCTGCTCCCTCCTCACTGGCTATGATTGACTGCACCAGGAGCCAATGGCTGGATGCCACATTTGTGTTACACAGTCGTAAAGGGGTCAAAATAATCTCTGTTCTTCTCTAGCCGGTTTCCAAGCTGCTGGACCCCCTCCCCACCTGTTTGTGGGTGTCTCCTTAGTTTGCCAGCTGCTACGGAGACACACACAGTGCCTGTCTACCTCAGTACCCTACTCTACAATGTGGAAGATCAGGGAAGTGGTGCAGTTCTTCCTGGGACATTTTTTACCTTAATGCAGAAAGCAAGCATGTATATAATATTATTATTATACAGGATTTATACAGCGCCAACAGTTTGCGCAGCGCTTTACAATATACTGGGAGACAATACAGCAACAACACAGTTCAATACAAGAGGGTTAGGAGGGCCATATAATATACACACATTTAATACATGACACTTGGGGGAAGATTTACTAAAACTGGATCATGCAAAATCTGGTGCCACTCTGCACAGAAACCAATCAGTTTTCAGAGTGCTCTAGTTTTAGTAAATCCCCCCCCCCCCCCCCCCAAGATTTTCAGAACATTATGGGTTACTTAAAGGGGCAGATGTTAACTGGATGGTACCTTTGTGGAAAGATTTCCATTTGTGTTCTGAGTTTGACTCTTTTATGCTTTTGCAGTTACCAGTGTTTCTCAGACAAAACCAAAGGGAGTGGAAAAGGTAGGCTGTGCTCCTTGTACGCATCCCAAATTAATTTTTAAAACTAAAAGTTGAGTGGAGAAGAGTTAGAGCAGCGGTACACCAGTGGCAACAAGAACAGGAAATGAGTGTAAATTTCCTCAACAAGGATGGCAATAAAAAGCAGGGAAGGGTCATAAGTGGTCGTCATCTTCTTTTTATTTTTTATTTATTTTTTTAATCTAACCACACTGGGGACAGGATGCCTGCAGAAAAAATACAGGAGGAGACTGAGACAAAACACCCTGCACAAGGGAAGAAAGTGACAGTGACCAGTGTGCCACATACAGAGCTCCTGCCCAGAGGTAACGTTTCACACTGGATTCCTGCACAGATCTGGAAGAAATACACAATGCACAAGATTCAAGTGAGAATACACAAGCCTCTTGTGTTTAGACAAATGCTTATCCCAGAGTTCAGCTTCAATTTTTTATTTACTTGCACCTTAAAAAAGTGATGTAAACATTTCAACAGCAAAAAGACTAAAAACTTTTTTTTCCCAAACACAATACATTCAGTAAAATGTTTACGTTGTCATTGTAAACAAAACATAGCACACATAGTGTTCCCAAAATGCACCTCCACATTTTTTTTTTCTCTAATTAAAAACCCAGAGTTTATTCTTCCTTATTTGGAAGATTTACTTTCATCTTCCTTTTCTGTCTGTGCAGTCGTTTTACTGCCCCATGTTGGGATATGTTGCAGGACACGTGTTTTCACTTGGTCAATGTCTCTGTTACGGATATAGCAGAGAAATGTGGTCCACAAAAATGCACAAACTCCAATGTAGGCAGTTCTGATGATTGGTGGTATAAGGCTGAAATTTATGGTCTGCAAATAAAAATACAGCACAGGGTAAGTGTGTATATTTCACCACAAAGTATCAAATTATCTTGGCCTTAAAGTAAAAATAAAGGGTTAATACCTGTCCAGTGGACTTTGGGCATCTTCATTGGCCAGAGTGGGATAACGTCACGCCTGTGCATGTGCAGGAGGCAGTTTACACCAGCGCAGCACTGTAAGCTGATCTGCACATTGCCAGCTCAGATTACAGCTCCAGAGAGGAGAGTGAGCAGGAAGTAGGGATATGACATTGCATGTCTCTTCTGCAATAAAAGTCTGCCTGCTTGTGGTATCTTATAGCGGATAGTGATATTAAAGGCTAGTATTCTATTTTTTTTTTAAAGTAAAATTAAAAAAGGTTATTCTTACCTGCTCTGTGTAACAATATTGCACAGAGTGGTCCCTTACTTCCTTTTGGCGGTCCCCTGCTGGCACTGCCCTTTCCAAGTGCCTCCCGAGCCAGTCAAGAGTCAAGGGGGCACCTGTGCCAGTGCACTCCTGAGCCGAGTTTTGTGCATTCATAGGCACAAAAAGCATTAACAAGCCATACCCCTGTTCCTTTCTCAAGGGAATTTGACTTGCAGTAGAATCATATGGCTCTCACTGCGCTCAGAGTTTCCTGTGAGGGCTGGTTCACAAGCTGTGTGATTTCAGCCTATTCCAGACCACAACAAAATTAGAACATGCACTACTTTTGGAAACTTATTGCAACTGGATTGCATGGTGTGACGATCGCGGCATCAGACCCCCAGCCCTTCTCACCAACTCGTGACCGAAGGACTAGCCAATCTAAAACCGCGCTGTCACGTGCGTAACAATGCCACGCTCAGCTGCACCCTGTACAAAGATTTTCTAGCTAATGTACCTGCAGCCTGAGAGCGATTGTTACTGTTACGCAATTCACCCCTTCACACTGCCACCACCACCTTTTTGTAGAGAAAAGGAGGAAACTCGCCAATATTAGCAATAACACTATGATGTTTGAATAATCGTCTGTATACCACTGTCACCGCAGGCAGGGATATATAGAGGTTTAAACACACACAGTAGCGCTCTTCAGAGACAGGGATTCTTAGTTTGCATAAAAGAGCTTTAGAAACAGTTCAACACTTTTCAGATAATAGGATTTATTACTAAAAAGGTCAAAATGGTGCAATACAAATATTTACAGAAAAAGATGTAGCCAATATATGTATATATAAATACAGAGATCAATAACACAGCAAAGAGATAACAGAAGTTTAGAGAGGTAAAGTACTTGCAGTCAGCCTTGGTTTAAACAGCGTTCAAGTGTCAGAGCAAAAGGGTACCGTTCTCCCAAAGTTGGTTCCAATGTTAAAAAGGAGAATTCTTTAACTTAACTGCTCCCAGCATAACAGTCTTTTTCTAGGAATTCAGCAGGGTGTCTCCTTAAAGCAGAGAACCAATCGCCTCATTTGGGGAGGGGTGTTTAGGCGGAGATCCAAGCTAGAACCAAAATCCCTCCCAGTTTATATCATGTTCAATAACCTACCCTAGGTGCATGTAGCTGCCTAGCCACTAGTAGATTAATAAGCAGAAGCATCTGCTGAACGTCTAGATAGTATTAAATATGACATACCTGCTTGGGACGATATACCTGCTAAGGAGATATCGTTTTCTTCTCTCCTGTAGATCTCAACTAGGGGGTGTAAGATATCAGACGACTTGCATTAAACCGAGCTAACCGAATATATGCTTGGTTTTTATGTAATTATTTCCCAGCTCCAGATATAAAATTATATGGAAAAATTGGTTTTTAAATGTGTGTCTGTTTTACAGCTAGCTGGAATGTCTTTAAAGCCCAGTGAAGGACTGGTTTATGGTTTTAAGATTCTCTCCGAGTGAGAAGCTAACAGACACCTGGGCACCAGCTAGTTTGGGATTTATAACCATGAAGCTCTCCCGCTGTGCATGATTGCCTGTGCACTTCTGAACCCTAGAGCACAGGGACCACGTGTCACTCAACAGAGAGTGAGGGGGGATTGGAGGGAGAGAGATACAAGAAGGAGGATCCTTAGCAAGATTGATGACCGCATCCATCTCTGTGTGCACAATTGCTACACATGGTACTTCTGTACCATGCGATCCATTGCAGCCAAGCGCACTGCATTTGTGACCTGCATTTAAGGTTTCATTAACTTAATGTTGACACCTCCTGCAGGTCACAACTGCAGTGCTAGAAATGTACATGGAATGCGGTATGAATGGGGCCTAAGACCAAGAAGAGAGCAGTGGTGCTTCAGCCAGGACAGTGCTGGATCGGTGACAGGATGGATATGAGAGAACATGTTTTTTTTTTTACCTTGATTCAGGGAATGCATTAAGGTAACAAGGTTTGGTTTTAGAACCACTTTAAGTATAGGTGGGAAAGTACCCGCATATAGGCTTACAAAAAGTAAATATTTAAATATAAAAAGTGTCTTATTGCCATGCTTTTTGTTTTTTACATTTTATAAACTTACAATTAGGATGTACAGGGGTGCACATATCCCCTTTACTTGCGGTGTACTAGGCCAGTGATATGATTTTCATTGACCACACACACCACTAGAACAGCCTTCTTCAACCAGGGTGCCTTGAGGTATCTTCAGGGATGCCCTGGCAAAATACCTAAAAAATTGCAAACAATTGTATACCAACCAGCAGGTGGATCAAGCCTTCTTTTTTTGTTATACAAAGCCATAGGTTTTCATTGTGCACCATTACAACTCTCTAGCCACCAGCGTTCTAGCAATCAATGATAAGACGGACGTCGGGTACCTGTACCTGTTTGCCCCATACCCCCCATCACTCCACTCTGTCAGCACAGGGGTCACATTAGTGAGAAGATGAACATTGGAGAGCTAGTCAGTAACAGTGTGCAAAGGTGAATTTGCTTTGGAAGACTAAATCACGTCCAATGTTGGGTTTACTATGTTTGCGGATATTACTGCATTTTAGAATGGGGTGCCTCGAGATTGTATTTTAAAGGGTGCCTTGACGGAAAAAAGGTTGAGAAACACTACTCTAGAAATCAGACACTTCATTACTATGCACATGATCAGAGCTGCACACTCACAGGGTCGGAGGAGAAACTAGGCTTATGCACTTCAATACAGTATATTATAATAAAATAGAAAATATGACAATTTATCATTAAAGAGTGTGTCTCTCTATAGGGAGGCATGGGTGGAGTGGAAGGGGTATGTTTATTGTTGATCATAAGGATCTTACCTGAAAGATGGTCCAGCAAAATACTCCTGTCTAAAGGGGAGAAAAACAGACATTTTCTGTTAATGTGATTGTATAACAATTAGCTATTTTTCTTTTTTAGGCTTAACTGACTATGTAACTAAATCAGGCACACTAGGGAAAGCCAGCATTTATCTGGCTGGCTTTAAAGTGGTTGTAAACTCTTACATATACCCAGTGAAGAGACTGGCCTCAGGTGATACAGAGATTAAACAAATTCTTCTACAAAAGTTATACCGATTTACCTGAAGTCTTCTCTTCTCTATATCCGTTCAAGTGCTGAATTTTAAAGCTTGTCTGAGCATTCAGAAAAAAAAGGGGATGGGGAGCTGAAATTACACAGTGTAGCGCTCAATGAGGAGAGATCTGATAGTTAATTGGAGAGAAAGAGACACAATCCCCTCCACACAGGAACAGAGCTTAGGCTGTCAATCAGCTGAAGGTCTCTCCCCTGTTACCTTGAGACAATACACACTATAGAGAGATGTGCTTTGTTCATATTTTATGTCTGAGGTTTAGAACCACTTTAAACTGGTCACAGACAGTAAATGGCAGGAGCCACCAATACAGAGTATATCAACTGTTAGTTAACCCTTTCATAACCAGAGCTTGATTCTTAGATGCTCAGACCATATTTAGCTGTAGTCAGCATACATCTGTTAACTTGACAATAACTCATTGACTAATTTGCATACCTACTAATGATTTACAGTTACTATATGAAACGTAATAAAAGTAAAAAACTAATTTTTCTGGAAAAAAGTAAAAAAAAACTTACATATATGCTTCTAGCTTCAATTCACAGTTGTTTCATCGCGTTTACAATTCTGTGTACATTTAGTCCCCATAAATACTATAGCAACGATCGAGGGGCCCCACATCTCTAGACATTTCCTTTATCACTGTGTCTACAGTTAATTATATCCTCTCAATATATCCCATTGTAGTCACCCATTCAGATTCACTGAGAGCAGAGTTTAAAGCGTAACTTCACTCATAACATTTGATAAAAAATAATGTTCTTTAGCAGGGTACATACATTCCACATTAATAACTATGCTACCAATATTACTTTGTGCTGTAAATTGCCTCCAGCATTGCTCCTGTTTCTTCTTGCTGGAGGCTGCCATTTTGTTGAAGCCCAGAGCCCTGAGCAGTATTTAAAGCAGAATTAAACCCTCCTATCCTTTTCAGCTAAGGAAGGTGTCATCTATTTGATCTGCAACTGCCTTGCTGATACACATATATTCAGTTATAACACCAGTCGTTTGATGGTTTGACAGTTTGGTTGAGAACATAAACAAAATGACAGTTAGCATTCCTGTTAGTTTGGCTTTAATCTTTAGACTGTCAGCAGATCTCTCCTCTACAAAATTTGGCACAGTACCTAAAAGTGGAGAGCAACTGAGCATGTGCAGAACAGGGTGAGACAGACTATCATTGGATTTTAAACAGTATACACACTTATTGGTAATGCTTTACATAGCTATACCTGCAAAAGGGACCAGCCTGAAGTGATCTAGCAAGACTTAATTTTCTGACTAAAGTTCCACTTTAAGTGATGAGCTGCAGTCAAAGAACACATCCCTGCTATACCTTTAGATGAACATATTCTTTCCTGCTGGCCTCTGGATGATTTTAGCTGTGCTGTGCCAATCAGTTGCTTCCTTGCTGTTCTAGAAGCATGTTTGATAGAATGCAATTAAAGCAAATAAATTCTACAACACCCAGCGTCATCTACAGGGTGCCTGGGGATGTGTTCTTTCACTTTGCAATCAGCAGGACGGTCATGTATCACTCCCTTGCTGGCTTTAATAAAGAGCTGGAAATACTAAAAAACAGCAGCTGTAGCTACAGGGATGACCCAAGGATATACACACATTTTCAAATTAAGAAAAATTTTACCAATACAGCATTTTAGTCTGTGATTAAAACTCTCTATTTATCTATGGATGCACACAGCCTGACTTGAGAGTGCACCCGTATGGGTGCCCCCTTAGCACCTGGCTTGCTGAGGGGGCCCCCAGAAGAAAGAGGATGTAAGGCATTACTCTGTGCAATATCATTGCACAGAGCAGTTAAGTATAACCTCTTTTTTATTTTAATTTTAAAAAATAACCTTTATCACTTTAATGTGATGAATGTGACATTAGTACTCCTTTTAAGCTGGCTTCTATTTTTTTCAGTGAAGCTGTCAGCCTGCATGTGACCACTATGTCATAGCTTACATTGTGACAACATGATCAGGAACCATTCTGTTTAGCTTCTAATTGTCATTGGGGACCCAAGCTGACAGTGGCTGCCAGGATTGGAAGCCAACAGTTTTCAAGATAGCAGAAGTTTCTCACAAGTGCAGGGATGTCCAATTCCTATCGTCCGACACCCGAGACATTTAGTTCATAAGTGCAGGGATGTCCAATTCCTATCGACGTGTAGTTCCGGGCGCCGGGCACTTTTTTTTTTTTTTATTTGTCCAAACCTGTCAGGTGGAAACAATCGGGCAGCAGCGCTGCCGCATGATTGCTTCCACACAGCCCACAGTGTCAGCCTCTCCCCTACCCCTGTTATATGTCCCGGGCTCCGCTTGCGGAGGTATAGGGGAGGGAGGAGGAGAGCGGACACATCCGCTCCCCTTCCCTTCTGATCTGGACGTGATGTGACGTCATTTCTGGGTCTCCATTGGACAGATTCCCGGTCATTGAGGCCGGGAAAGAATGTAATGTGGTGCGATGTACACTGCATTATATTCACTGTAGTACAGGGGAGACTTTAAGGATCTTTTAGACCCTGGATGTCTCAAAAAAGAGAACGTGTCACCATAAATCGTCACATTTTGTCCCGTATATGATTTAAAAAAAAAAAAAAAAAAAAAAAGTTATTTTTTAAATGGAAGTTACTCTCAAGCATATAACATCCCCACATTTTTCAAGGCCCCCCACATATGTATGCATGCACAAACGTAAAAGCACATACTCGGGCAACTACACATGAAAATGACGATTGCGATACATGTTACACATCGCCGCGCACGCCAGAATGACAGCAATAATTCTTGCATCAGATCTCCGTACGCTATACTGCTGACCTATAAGGGGTTTTAAGTGTTGCCTATAGAAAATATAGGGTACTAAAGTTTGTTGCCGTTTCACGAGCGCACGCAAATTTAAGGTTTGACTTGTTGGATATCTATTTACTTGCTGCAACCTCGTCTTTTATATTTTACAAAAAATTGGATAATTTATTGCTTTTTGTGCCCTAAAATTTAACTTAAGAGTATTTTTTACTGAAATTGTGTGTTTCCTAGACCTCTGTGATAATATTGTGTGACATAAAAAATTGCAACTACCACTATCTTATTTTCTAGGGTCTCTGCTTTCAGAAAATATATAATGTTTGAGGGGTTTGTGTAATCTTCAGGCCTAAAAAGATTTTTTAAATGTGTGCAAATAACACAAAAACAGCAGTGTAAGGGATAAAGAATAAGTCCGACGCCTCTTTCCTGATGAGCAGCCAATCGGTGCTCATTACACTGCAAGGTCTCTCTCCTCTCTGCTAGTCCCCGGCTGCAGGGAGGAGATACACAGCGTAATGTTAAAAATCTTAAACGTTTAAGTCGCCATAAAGCCCCTTTTGATTTTAAAAGCCCCAAACAGGTTTGGTTAAAATTTATTTTTATCAGGACAAGTAGATTGGGACACCAATCTAGTCCCTGAACAAGTAGTTTTTTCAAAAATTTCTACACCCCTGAAGTGTAGCTGGAAATTTGCTAAACTAAGGGTACCGCAGAGATACAGAGATACCCAATAGTCACTTAATTCTGCAGACAATCAAGATAGTAGATGTCTGATGTTTGTTGTCCTGTTAGAATGTGACCACAATGCTTTAGCCTGATCTCACCTGTTATCCAGCTTTTTGTTTTAAACCATAGCCATTCACAAATGTAACATGTATAGGGCAACATAGATCAGATTTTGAGCAACCCAACAATGCAATTCATATTTTTCTGTTAATACATTAATGTATACATTACCTTGTAAGTTGGCCAAAATTTCTCTCTAAGGTTTTTAAAAATATCCTCCTCTCCATCCAGAAGACTTAAACCTAAAAGAAATTTTGTTTTAATAATAAAAAGCACATTATGACAAAACACGGGATACATTCTAACTTTAAAAACATTTTATAACGTGTAATCCACACATATACAAATTACATATTTGACTTTGGTCTGTTGTTTTTTTTTTTTTTCTGGGGGGTAGAATATTTACAAACTCCAGTAACCACCCGATAGTCGTTATCTGCAAGAAAAGGTGCCATGAGAGAAATACAGGGTCAGGTATAGCGGAGCAGAATTTTCCCCAGGAAAAGGGTCGTCCCACACAAAACTGAAATTCTAGTATTTGGTAGATGCCAGAACAATAAACTTCCTAATGATATTGTATATATCTTGGGGAGTGTATGGCAAGACGCTTTTGCCTTTCCAGGTGTGCACATGGCTTTCACTAATTTAGGTTGTATCACTCTCTGATTTATTTTATATTATGTAGGTTGGGAACCCAGCAAGGTTGATGAGAACATGAAACAAAGGTCAAAGGTGAGTGGGAACTATGAGGGGGAAATCTTGTCACTGTAGTCCTTGGTCTGAGAAGCCAGCTGTGACTAAGGGTGGCCATGCATGGATGCTGTTTAGTCTATTAGCCACTGGAATAATTGAAAAAAACTGAATTAAAGGATCCCCCCCATCCAAACAAGCGAGGTGGATAGAGGAACCCTCCCTGATATGCTATTGTCTCCATCCCTGTCAGACTACACTGATCAGCACTGCACACAATTGGTTGCAGGCGCTGATCAAACAAAAATTTACTAACATTCCTGTTCGAGAGGAGCTGACGATTAGATAGACTCCTTTTGAACAGTAATAGCCATACATGGCTCAATTTGGGCAGCCCAGGCTACACTAGATGAATTTTGCTTTATCTCTGGCCAGCTTAAAGTGGTTGTAAAGGCTCAAGGTTTTCTCCCTTCATGCATTCTAAGAATGAACAAACAGAGCAGAGGCTCAGGAGCGAGCCTGCTCAGATGCCCCCATAGCTAGCTGCTTGCTGTGGAGGCATTTGGCAGAGGGAGGGGCCAGAAGCACTGCTGGGTGACCAGAGGAGTCTTTGAACCTCAGACATAAAATATGAACAAAGCATATTCTTCTATAGTGTGTACTTGTCTCAATCCAGAGCACTAAGTGCCATATCTCTCTGCTGCCTTGTTTTACTGCTATCTGCATGAGTCACTTCTGAGAAGTTTTCCTGACATGGAAAGAAAAAATGGTGATGGGGAGGGACCTGTAGCTGACTGACAGCTTGTTGTTGAGTTCTGTTCCTGTGTAAAGGGGTGTGTATCTCTTCTCTCCAATCAGCTCCCCTCACTGAGCTCTGCAGTGTGTGAAATCAGATCCCCAACTCATGCCCCTGGAAGCTGAGAAATGCTGTGCAAGTTCTCAACTTTCAACGGATGTAGATAAGAGATGGCTATAGATTAACAGGTACAACTTATGTAGGACGATTTCTTTCAGCTTTGTGTATCACTTAAGGCCAGTCACATTTTAACAATTTAGCATTTCTGTTTTCATTTGACTACAGAACATTTTCAAAACAGCTCTTCCTCCATGAAAGAAACCCGATATTAAGGCCCCATTCATGTGGGCACTGAGGCCTGTACACTGTGAGTTGGCTGTTTAAGTGGCTGGAGTTGCCAGGTGCTACGTGCGGGTAGTCCATGTAAGTGTATGAGGACACAGCTGTACGCACACAGCCACTGTTCTAATTTGACAGGCGTGCAGGTGAGTGGCCCCAGATGCATAATGTCTATGTTTGGGGACACTCACCCACGTCTGTCAGGACAAGTGGCTTTGTCCCGTTACATGGGCCACCTGCACGCAGTACTTGGGTGCTCCAGCCACATAAAGAATCGGCCTATTCACAGTGTACGTGCCTCAGTGTCCATGTAATTCTGAACTCCAGTCAAAATTATTTTTTGAAATGTGCACTGTAAAATTAAATCCACACTAATGAAGTGCATTCCACGTGTCTAGGGTGCAGCATTATTTACAACGCGGATTTTCACTGTCCTCATGTAGCGTGCAGTCAGCACAGAACGTCCAGCACATTTACATAGGCAATTAGGGGGCGGATCCAGCATTCAGCGTTTAACCACTTCTAAATGCAACAAACTGAATAGCGGCGGGCAGAAACTCAGAAAAAACAGTGTCCCTGGACACTGTGGGGGTTATTTACTAAAGCTGCAGAGTGCAAAATCAGGTGCACTTCTGCATAGAAACCAGTCAGCTTCCAGGTTTTACTGCCAAAGCTTAACTGAACAAGTTGAGGTTGGTTTCTATACAGACGTGAGCCCGATTTTGCACTCTCCAGCACTAGTAAATAAACCCCTGTCTGTGTCCAGGGATGGTTATACGCTTGGATGAGCGGTCACATGCAAACAATGGCAGTGCCGACCAATGATCTGTACAGGGTACAAATCTGACAGCTACTGCTGTTCGCACACACTGGGGTAGATTTACTAAAACTGGTGCACTCAGAATCTGGTGTAGCTGTGCATGGTAGCCAATCAGCTTCTAACCTCAGCTTGTTCAATTAAGCTTTTGGCAATAAAAGCTGGAAGCTGATTGGTTTCTATGCAGAAGTGCACCCGATTTTGCACTCTCCAGCTTTAATAAATAAACCCCATTGTGTGAATGCAGCATTTAACTCTACTGATGCTCACCTCCCATGTGAACGTAGTCTTGAAGTTGTGGCTGGAGTACTCATAGCCGTTGTTAGCACTCCAACTCCTCTATTTAGTATACTTCTTGCATTTTTTTCAGTGAATGCAATGCGCTCTGTGATTGAAGGTGGGGAGATTGTGGTATTCATCTGTTCCTCCTCCAATCACAAAATGCCTAGCATTTGTTGAAAAGAATGCAAGATGTTTACTTAATGGAACAGCCGAAGTGCAAGCAACCCACTTTGATCTGAGTACTCCAGCAATAACTAACTCTCAGTGCCAGACTTATGGTGCTGCACTGTAAGGGAGTGAATGGAAGTTAGAGCTGTACATAATGCTGTAGCCTACACATGGCACACACATCGTTAGTATTTATTTTTACAGTGCACATGTCAAAAAGTAGTTTTTGGCCAAGGTTCAGCTTCAAGAGCTGTATTTAACCCAAAAATGTATTATCTTGTAGCTTACCAATCCCTAGATGTGGTGGCTGTATTAGTTTTTCATTCTTAGGCTGTATTCCTTGTGTTTTCACCAGTAAAAGTAAGTGTGTGTGTGTGTGTGTGTGTGTGTGTGTGTGTCACCAGATGAAAATACAAGAAAGCAAACCCAAAAAAAAGGAAACTATTGCGGCCACCACATCCAAGAATTGCTAAGCTGTAATATAATAAATGTTCATTTGTGGGTTTAATACCCCATTAATTTGTTTGGCTGTTGGTGATTTAACAGTTATGGAACATCAATACATGTGATAAATTGTGCCCAAACGTCTGTAGTAATGAAATCACCTGTATAGAAAGCACTTATTGTAACTGGAGCTGCCAGCAGCTGATCGCATGCTACCTTCCGAATGACATTCTTAGCTGCGGATCCTGGAAAAGTTCTTTCAATAAACCTCAGCCAGTAAAAGTTAAAATTGGCATGGAAGCAGAATCCCACAATTCCAACCTTGGCAGTTTGTTTAAAATCTATTTGTTCATTGGGTCCTTTAGTGAGTTTCTGTTGTACAGCATCAGCTGATGCAAAGAGAGAGCCGTAGATTGTCACATTGGTTAACCAGGGGTGTCTTTTTGTGAAATGTATGAAGGCACGCATTTTACCAAAATAAAAGATGCAAATTAGACAATGTAGAATTCCGGTGAGATTCGGCACTTCTATGTGGCCAATACACCATAAAATGCAATACACAAATATGGGATATATATATTGTGCTAAGAAATGTTACATTGACCGCTCATGATGCAGACGGACCAAGCATAAGAGGCCTTGTATAGTGTATTAATTCTCACAACTGAGAAATGAAGTCTTTATATTCACTGTGTTTTTCTGCCCTGAAAAGAACAAAAATCATAGATTAGAATACACGGTTATTTAAGATCAAGCACACAACTACAAAGGACAAAAATAAGAAGTGCTGTAAACGAGGACATTATACCAAAAATATGCTGCCAGTGACTTGCTTCACTTTCTCATAATTTGTATTCTTTGATGTTGCGTTGCCTTGCAACCTTACATAGCTATTAATCCTTACCCACACTTCTACAAAAAAAAGTTTTATTACTGTCCATGTCCCTGATGGAGAGATTGTAATCTTTCTTCTCCAGTGACCAAACCAAAAGTGAGATGTACATTATGGTATCCCCAGCATCTCTAATATGAGGTTTCTTCCTATTGGTGGCACAGATCACAGAGTTGGTAAACACACAGAATCCTCTAGAAGTTGAAGGGCAGAAGTGCAATTTCCTGCATATTGGTACCAAAGTAAAGGATTCCATATTTTTGACTCACATTTGCCAGAAGTGAGCCGTAGAAGTGGAAAAGGAAGCCACAACACAAGTGCTGGATTTTATTTTTAAAGCAATATGGACCCTCAAAATATTTAACAGCTTTGACTGAAATGTTTGTTTCTCTAAAATTGCCATGAGGTTTTTAAAGGGCACCTTAGACATTTAGACATATAGGGGTTTATTTACTAAAGCTGGAGAGTCCAAAATCAGACTCCCTTCTGCATAGAAACCAATCAGCTTCTAGGTTTCATTGCCAAAGCTTCATTGAACAAGCTGAGGTTAGAAGCTGATTGGTTTCTATGCAGAAGGGAGTCTGATTTTGGACTCTCCAGCTTTAGTAAATAAACATCATACTGTACAGTACTGCTTTGGAGTTGTTCTTCTAAAATATTTCTCACCACTAAAAGGAACAACCTATTGAAAGCTCCTAGATGGCTAAATGCTCTTTAATGCTAAATTTGTTTATAATGGAATAAAAGTCATGGCAGACCATATCCAATATCCCTGTCCACCATCAAACATTCCACTGCTCCAAACATGTTTAGAAAAATTAAGGCAGCAGCTACAAAAACAAACAGACGCTCACCTATTCATTGATCCACTGATATCCTCACTTGGGCCGGTTCTTCACCAGTTTTTGGGTCCCCACTATCGGCACAATAACTGTGGGAAACCAACTGTGACTCCTTGTGGTTTCACGGGTGACTCCCCACTGCGCTGCACCTTTGTGAATAGACCCATGGCCTCTTGGGACCTGTGTCATGTCCCAGAAGGTTGAACTTCCTCTCCGATCATCTAGGCCAGGGGCCATGAGGCATTGCAAGGCTGACAAGTATGACTCCCAGAGACAGAGGCATGATGGGAAGACTGACAGTTACTCCTACAGGCAGAAACATTATAGGACTTGTAGTTCTGCAACAGCTGGAGGGCCACAGTTTTCCACTCCATAGCCTAGGCGATCGGAGCAGAAGTGGCAACGGGTATTTCTCAAAACAAGGTATCCATTCTCCTCAAAAAAATATATATTCCCACTATAGCGGTGGGGCGATGAGGAAGAAAAGTGGAACTTTTGGATGAAGTTCTGCTTTTAGGACCTACTGGAGAAAGGAACATGAATGTGAACACTGACACTGTAGGCCAGAGTAGAGTAGGGCAACTCTGTCACTTCAAGAACCATTTGTGTACATAGAGTAATATAATAAAATTCACTGTCTCAGGTAGTAGGGGTTGGGAAGCGTAAGAAAATGTTCTCGTGCTCATTCTGATACCATGTTGACTGGCTCTGATGTCACTAGGATTGCCATATGTACTTTTTTATTAAAATCATGTCACTTTCCAGCACTTTTCTTATCCCATATTATTAAAATATGGGGTTAGGAGGCATTTCTAAGGCCTCATGCATACTCAATAGTTTTTCAGTTGTTCCTAGGTGTTTGGAGGAGTTTACAGGCAGAAAACAAAGTCCACTGCCAGTGTGTTCAGTAGCAGTTGCGTTTTGGCAGAAAAAATGAACAATGCCTGTAAACGTGTCTAAACACATGCTAACGCTAGGCACATTTAACGCTTGAGCGTGAATTAATTTCACTGGCCATAATAATAATTTTAACTTAAGAAGTATGTACAAAAGACAAATGAATAAAAACTAAAAAAAATAAAATAAAATGAATACAATTGAGAACCATGAAACATATTTACAGTATATAAAAACCACAGTCTCAGTGAAATAAATACTATATTGGCTAAAACGCTGAAAATGTGGAATAATAGATTACATTGAAAAAATGGAGGTGCATAAATATAACTAACCCCTAAGGCCCGCATTTACACTTGCTGTTTAGTGGGTGGTAAAAACACACAATTCAACCACGTTTTATTATCCCCAAACTGTTCCCCCTTAAAGTGTTACTAAACCCAGGACCTTGCATTCGCTATATCTGGTCTCCCACAGTAAACGCTACATGGAAATGCAATTATTTTGGTAAATATAAACTGGTAAATACCTTTTCTCATCAGCAGTTAGAGCAGTCTTGTGACTTCTATCAGTGTCCAGCAGAGCACTGGTTAAAGCTTGAAGGAGGAGTTTTCATTCTCTTCTGATTGTCCTATCAGGCTGCCTAACCCCTGACCCTCTGTCTGGACAGTCCTGATTGGCCCTGTGCTGATCAAATGCACTCTCCAAAGATAAAAAACCCTCTAGGAATGCACTCCAAACAGAGCATGTGCAGCTTGCCCTCAAGGCTCTGTTGTATCAGCAGATGGATTGGGGGCAGTAGAAGAAGGGGAGAATCAGAGAAGACAGGATCAAACATCCTTTTTACACAATGCAGAGGATTAACCCCATAGGTTCCACAGTGAGTATAACAAGCATGCTTTACTGTATACATAGATGGATTTTACTGTTGTGGATTTAGTAACACTTTGAGCTGCAAAGTCAGCAGATGCGGTGTACACATGCCACTGCAAAAATTAACATCTCCATTGCTGTACTGCCCCCTGAATGCAAACCATTCACCTGAAGTGGGCAGCATCATGTGGTTACATGGTTGCTGTGCTGTGGTACGGGTTTTTAGGAGTTAAAACAAACAGTGAGGAGGCAGCATAGAATGCCTCCTCACCCCTGTCAGACACCCTTTGAATCGCTCTTCAGAGGGTAACACTCACCTAAACAAACTAAAATGTGTGTGTGTGTGTGTGTGTGTGTGTGTGTGTGTGTGTGTGTGTGTGTGTGTGTGTGTGTGTGTGTGTGTGTGTGTGTGTGTGTGTGTGTGTGTGTGTGTGTGTGTGTGTGTGTGTGTGTGTGTGTGTGTGTGTGTACACAGTTGTGTTCAAAATAATAGCAGTGTGTTGAAAAAAGTGAATAAAGCTCAAAATCCTTCTAATAGCTTTTATTTCCATACACACAAATGCATTGGGAACACTTCACATTCCATTCCAAATCAAAACATGAAGAAAAAGATATCAAATTTGTGTTGTTCCTCTAAAACAATTGAAGAAAAGTGAATATTAGACTGTTCAAAAAAATAGCAGTGTTAGTATTCTTCTTTACAAACTCAAACATTCACTATATAAACTGAAAAATGTTTGAAGATTTTGCTTTCCTTTGAATCACTTAACCTCCCTAACGGTATTCCCGAGTGTAGCTCGGGGTAAAGTTTCTGTACCAAAAGCGGTAACCCCGAGCTACACTCGGGCTTACCATGCAGCGCTGCTCTGGGAGTCCCTGCAGCACTTACCTTGTCCTTTGCTCCCGTGATGTGTCCCCTGCAGCGTCCCCGGCCATCTCCTCCGGCCGATGCTGGCATCCGGCTCCTGTGTTCCGGTCCCTGTGACGTCGGGACGTACAGGCGCCGCCGGCGGCGGGAAATTTGAAAATTTAAAAAAAATTTCATTTTTTTTCAAAACGATTTTTCATAGTAAAACATTGCTGTTTCAACCCATTTCACATACATTTTGTCCCTAGTGCTCTGTCCTGTCCCGTCTGCATTTTGATTGTTCTTTCTGCCTGGAAACTTAGAAAAGTCCATGGCGTCCAAAAAGCGTCCCTTTAGGTCAAAAGCGGTTTTAGAACAGCTAGAGAACAGCGATAGTAAATCAGAACCACTTGAAGAATTGAGTGATGATTCGTGGGGAAATTCGTCATCAGACACTGAAAACGATTTTGCAACTTTGCTCAGCAATGCGCTATATTTCAAATTTCAATGTTTTTGGTTTGATTATATTATTGAATTAAATTTATTATTATTATATTATAATTTTTATGATTATTTATTAAATTATAATTTATGATTTTGTGTTTCAAATTTTATCATACCCGGGATGTTTAATAGACTCTTGTTCGGACAGATTTCAGTGAGTTATTCCTAAAAATTACAGCCTACAATAAGAAAACTACATATTTCCATGCAAAAAAATGTACCGCTTTCAGCACCAAAAATCGTAAATAATCATACCGCCAGGGAGGTTAATGAATATTTAGTTGTAGTCGCACTGTTTCTGAGAACTGCTGTACATCTGTGTTGCATGGAGTCAACCAACTTCTGGCACCTGTGAATAGGTATTCCAGCCCAGGATGATTGGACTACATTCCACAGTTCTTCTCTATTTCTTGGTTTTGCCTCAGAAACGGCATTTTTGATGTCACCCCACAAGTTTTCTATTGGATTAAGATCCGGGGATTGGGCTGGCCACTCCATAACGTCAATCTGGTTGGTCTGGAACCAAGATGTTGCACGTTTACTGGTGTGTTTGGGGTCGTTGTCTTGTTGGAACACCCATTTCAAGGGCATTTCCTGTTCAGCATAAGGCAGC